CTTTGTGTTCTTGAACGTAGCCCTGTCTTTCATTTTTGTTCATTGATTTCACCTGTGTTAGTTACTCACCTGGTCTCATCAGCTCCTTATTTAGTTCAGTTCATTCTGTTTGTGCCTTGTGAGGTATTGTTAATTTTGACTCTACTAATCTTTTTCCTAGCTCGTTTGTGAGAACCAGTTATAGCCTTCAGTCCTAGTTTTTGATTCTCCTGCCTGTTTGCCTACCTGTATGACCATTGCCTGCCTTTGACCACGATTCCTGCCTTCTGCAAAGGCGAAATAAACACCTGTCGCGCTCTGCGCGTGAATCTACACCTCTTTCTCTCTGAGTATTCATTACAATGGCTTCTGGTTAGGATATGTACGTACGGTCACTGTTGGGACGACGTTATTGATGCACTCATTAATGAAGCCAGTGACTGATGTGCTAAACTCCTCAATGCCATCGGATGAATCCCAAATAAATCCCGGAGGTCATTATGTGTGAGCTCCCAGCCTATATTTGGTCCCCATCACAGGTGGCTAGTGGCACCTTAATTGGGGAGGACGGGCTCACAGTAATGGCTGCAACGGAATAAAAGGAATGGAATCAAACACACATGCACATACAAGTATAGACATGTGGTTAGCATGTAGTATGACATATATACAAAATGAACAACAGATCAGCATGCTTCTGTACCCCAGAGCAACATCCCCACAGTCAGCAGTTCTTCCATTAAGCAGCCATGCAGTCACCTTCACAGATCAAACAGGCTTCATCACAAAGGGCTCAGGATCATCAATCTACATTTGGTATACTTTAAAATAATAAGCCATAATGACACACACAAACAAGTTAGTACCAGTCATCCCATTCTATCCCATTTAATGGTTGTCGCTAAGCGGTTATGTGATGCATTTTACATGATTGAATATGACTTTCGGTTTTATTTCATTTGCTTTAATTGTTCGGTATGTTTGCATGTTTTCTGTGCAGTGGAGTGGAGTGCCGTTTTAGAGCACACATCATATGTGATTCTGTATTACTATTATTTTGCTCAAACCGCTGACATCACCCTGGGGGTCAGCACAACACATACCAACTTGCCTGCCTCTGAATCTTACGCCCCTGTATCTTTAATTATTAGATATTGATCGAAAAGGGAATTTGATGGATGTCCAACCTTTGATTGTTACCTTGAAAAGTAAGGCCGCTTGTCCAAGTTTTAATAGTGCAATCTGGTTGGTGACATTCATTGTAGTTCTGGCTCTTCTCAGGTCCGCCAAACCTCCATATTGCACATCCACCACCACCGCCTTGAATGGAGAAAGGAGAAAATAAATATCAGACCATTTTAAATCATTGGTACAAAAGGCACAAAAGATTACCTGCAACTGAATTGGAATAATAGTTGCAATAATCACTCCTGTGGCGGGGTTTGGAAGGCACAATAATGAGTAATGACCAAATGTCTGTCTGTGTGCTGGAGGAGCCAGACTTAAAAGTTAAAGAAAAGTCATGGAGTTGAACAAGGAGTAACAGCAGCTGTGCTATTTCTGAGTGGGACTCTCCTGCTGCATTACCTGGGCCCAATTCATTTTTCATGTGGCCTGGGGGCAAATAAAATGCGATGTCAATGAGCAGAGTACATCGCGTTTGCATCAAGAGACCAGGGGAGTGGGAGATTTATCACCTTTGTCAGCATTTGCATCATAAAAGCGATTCGTTAAACTCCACAGAACTGACACCAAATTGAAATACAGAAGGATTTCTAGTCTGAGATGTTCTCTTTTTTCTTTCCAGAGGTAATGAAATTAACGATGTTGCTTGCCGCACTGAGCGTATTCCGTCTGTACACCAGATGAATTATTCCCTGTTCACTATTCATCTGGCCTACGTGGTGGATGAGGGAGGCAATGATTGTTTCTCCATCACCCTGATTGAAGGCAGCAAAAGTCCTCCCAATAATTAACTATTATCATGCTGAGGAGTTGAATTGCCACCTCAATCAGGTGCCTCAGACAGAGAGGGTGGCAACATGTCCTGCTTGAATTAGGAGCAAATTCAATTCCCTCACAATGAAATGTCAATTGAACACTTCTACTGTAGCATAATCATACCAGAATGAGAGCCATGCATCACATGCAACATTAGAGCACTACAGTACACTACACTACACTAACCTCCCGAGTGGCACAGTGGTCTAAGGCTAGCTGTGCCACTAGAGATCCTGGTTCGAATCCAGGCTCTGTCATAGCCCATGGGGCGGCGCACAATTGGCCCAGCGTCGTCCAGGGTAGGGGAGGGAATGGCCGGCAGGGATGTAGCTCAGTTGGTAGAGCATGGCGTTTGCAACGCCAGGGTTGTGGGTTCTTTTCCCACGGGGGGCCAGTATGAAAACATATATATAAAAATAATGTATTCACTAACTGTAAGTCGCTCTGGATAAGAGCGTCTGCTAAATGACTAAAATGTATAAACATAAGGAATGTTTACAAGAAATTACCCACCTCCAAAAAACACACTGTATGTCCCAGTCTATGAGCTTGGTGTAATCAAAATTCATAAGGCACTCTGTTGAGGCTTAGAGGGGATGGACAGGGAGACTGGAAGGGGGACTCAAACACCACTTGTCCAGAGTAGTACTGCTGAATTAGTAAGAATATCTATTACCCTTAGTGGATGTCTTTGTTTGCTCTGGGTCCAGCAGGAGACATCCTGGCACAGACTCATGTATTTAAATAGCTATTGTGCAGAGTTAACACAATCAGAGACAGAAGAGGCAGTCTGCCTTCTCTTCTCCTGCTCTGCTCTGGCTGCTCCTCGCTCTGATGAAAACACTGCAATTCTCCAGAGCCAGCTGGAAGGAAACAATTGTTGAATTAAATGTCTCTGTGTCTTTAGGAAATTATATTTCCTTGCTATCAAATATGAAGACAAGATAACTTACAGAAATATATGAAAGATAGAGCTATAAAGTAAGTCAGAATGTTAAATAGCCAATTTAAGATGATTTTGGTCTACTGTAGTTGTCTTAATGTACCGGTGCAGCTAATGGATAAAGCTAATACGTAGCATATTGTACCTTGCAGTTTCATGTACCTGATGATGCAGTACTTTAATGAGCGAGGCTAAGGCAGGTAGTATAGTGGCGCATGTGTTGCAGGCTCAAATAATGGTAATTAATTATTCAAACAGAGCCCTGAGGAGGATCCAGGTCTGACCACTGAGGATGTAAAGCTCTACCAAGCTAAAAGAGCCTTGTTATACTGTTGTTGTTGTTGTTGATGATGTTGTTTTCTTCCGGTCTACCATCCTTCGCTGTATTGTTCCAGAGTAATTTGCATTGTAAAGTTAGATATGTTGTGACAAGGCAGTAAAGTACAGTTGGATGACTAAGATAAAGAGAGAGTCACATATTTTCTCTGTTTGAGAGAAAGAGTCCAAAATAGCTCATGATAGTCACTGCCCAGCATTAACAGAGCTTTTACCAAATGAACATCATATCAACTCATGAAAGATGATCTTTGAGATAAACTTCCCAATGTCCGCTCTTTAAACATAGCTACACAGTGAACATGATCTCCATTGTCACTTAAACCTCTATTTCTCTCTATAAATCCTCTGATGGCTGCCTTTTGTTAAGGTGGTCTTTTAGTGCATATATATTTCATATACTGAATGTTTTCCCTGTAATTTTTTTACACGCTATCTCTCTGCGATGCTGAGACTGGAGAGTGGACTAATGCGAATTTCTCACTGACCCCTCTGTCACCGTGACAGGCTCAGAGATCCCATGGAGCCCAGCACATTACTATGGAGTCCCCAGGCCTTTCATCCATCAAACCAGCCATATTCTTTTTTTCTAAACTAATGTTTAGATATTGCAAATGCCATTTAATTCAAGGCAGCACACTGAACAGCGAATGGAACCAGGCCGGTGATGGATGACTTTGACCCCTCTTTTGGGGAGACAGATCCAGAGGACTAACATGGTAGAGACTTTGTATTCTCCAACTTTTCCCGTGTGCCTTTAGGCCCCTCAGCACTCAAGGGATAACAGCCATCTCCTTCAGTCACTCTCTCTCTGTGTTCACCTGGAGACAGAAAGTATAACCTCTAAAAATAGCCTGGCTATATTTCGTATGTCTGCGAGTGTGTGGACTGACTTACATAAAGACTTGGATGAATCTTCAATCTCAAGGAGGCATTTTGATTTACCTGAACTGTGGACCAAGTTTAAAGGTATAGCGCAACCAAATTACAAAATGGCATATTGTTTTCCTTACTTTGTAAGCAGTCTATGTACAAGGTATGGCAGCAATCCATGCTTTGGTTTAGTTTCCCTGGCAGTGTCTGGCACTGTTTCCAAATGCTAACGTTTTAGCATTTGTGGCACAAATCCCATTCAAGTCATGGGACCGATATTAGCATTTCTTTGCGCATCATGTCCAAATCACCTGCAAGTTTCTAAAATTGATTGTGAAGCTCACCAAAGTCACTTATATATGATTTCAACATGACACGTGAAAAATGCTAATATTGATCCTAAGACTTGAATGGGATTTGTGCCACAACGGCTAAAACGTTAGCATTTGGAAACAGTGCCAGACACTGCCAGGGAAACTAAACCAAAGCATGGATTGCTGCCATACCTTGTACATAAACTGCTTACAGGGTAAGGAAACAAATGTGTAATTTTGTAATTTTGGGGAACTATCACTTTAACATAAATGTACATCTTCACCTTTGGCTGTGGCCTTTTGGGTGATCCCTGCTGTGAGAGAGAAGAGGGGATTCTAAACAAAGCTAACTGGAGCCAGCCAGTTTCAGGGCAGAGAGCAGGGTTGCTACTACCCTCCAGTCAGGAATACCACACACAGATGGTGGCTGGGGAGGAGAGCTACAAGAAATGCTTACATTGACATTACTCAACAATGGTTCGGGGTGAACAACTAGGATATGACTGTGGAACATAGCATTAACCAGCCTGGGGCTATTACATTCTGTTGTCCACTCAGAGAATACAACAGGGTAAATGTGCTGAGTAGGCAGCATAGGAGAAGTGTTGGTCTGCCGTGGGGTTGTTGTTGTTGTGGTTCCTGGGGTCATACTGAGCCCCGCTGAGCACGAAACACTGGTGGCTGTCCCAGTGCACGATGCTGCTGGGGGAGGGGCCAGTCAGGCTGAGGAGGACGCTGTAACTGGCCAGCTGGACGTCCTTCAAGCCCAGGTCTGTCCCCTGTTGGTACAGCTGCTTAGCCCTGGCCTCCTTGCTGTCATCTGATAGGGTAGTGAAAGCCCTGATGGGAGACAGAGAAAGGCAGAGATGTAGTTATGGATGTCTGTTCACTACTCTGTGTGACAGGATTCCTGGTAGATGGTTTGGAAACAGACTTACCAAAGCAATTACTATTTATCAATTTGGCTAATTAACACATAGTTGATTTTAGTTATTATTCACACAACCAGTATTCAGGATATCTGTGACAGAATTGAGGAATGAGGACAGTCTTTATGGTCATAAAATGTGAATAATGAGAACGGTTAAACAGAAAATCAATTGTCTCCTGAACAAATGGATGCAGTAATAAAACTGTGAGAATACTTTATTCCGCGATAATAATGTTCTGCTGTAAGAACACATTATCAACAGATGGTTAAACATGAAGAGAAGGAGTAAAGTGTTGATAAATGTGCTCTGCTAGCAGTTTTCAACACTGTTGATACAATTAATCTACCATACTAAGTAATGCAGCTAAAATGGCATGCATAATTACTATGAATAGAATACACAGTGTAATATGATATTATTTAAGTATACAAATAATTGATAATGCAGATATTATGTAAAAGCAGAAAGCATTTAAAAAGGATTAACTTCACCAAACCACATTTAACTTAAATTCAAGTGTGACGATGTATTCTATCCTCTGAATCATGACTGATTTAATTTGCCCATGTCAATCTTCCAAGACACAAAATTATGACGCCAAAGAACTGACATAAAAGACTGAAGCAGAAATGTCTTAAATAAAATAAAGACTTATTTTGCAGACCTTTAAGTCTGAGCTTTGAACTTTTTTGTTTTAAATATTACAGGGCGAAACTCACTTTATCCACCCGCTGTTAATGATATAAAAAATAAATAATCACTTTTAGTATGACGATGAAAGAAAAGAGAGGAAGAACAGCATATTGACAACTTGTTTTAACAGGAAGGGTAAACCTGAAATGCGTTTGGGAGATAAGGTTCTGAGGACATTATTCAATGTTTCCATCAAATACAGATATCTAATGAATTCTGCATAAAAGTCTGTTTATTTGATAACTGATACCCATCTCACATCTTAAAGGCCAAAGGAGACTGGCTAAAAGGGCAATTATCTTTTTTTTTTTTTTTTGGGGGGGGGGGGGGGAATGGATCAGCTTAATATTGCAGATAGATTGTATCTTCTATCAATGTAATTGTCTGCATCACTTCCAATCCCCCATGTTTTTTTTATTTTTTATATATATACTCCCCTTTATTACTTTTCAACCCCACCATCCTTTCCCTACTTGGAGTAAATTAGTGAACAACAATGCCCAGGCCTCTACTTCCGGTCTATACTTACTATCTACACCTTATGGACAGAGTTAATTTTACAATAATTCTATTATATATATATATATATATATATTTTTTTTTTTGCTCCTGAACTTCTTCTACTCTCAACCTCTCCGATCATTTTCATGGTGTCCATCCGGTTTGCTTCTATATGCCATATCTTTCTAACTGTGCTCCTTAGGGCAATTATCTTACCAATATCAATCATGTTGTGTTTTCCTGACCCCATTAAATGTAAAGCAGTAGCAGAGCATTACACTGAAGATAGTTCTGTATCACTGTATAAATGAACTACCTTATATGGTTCAAGAAATTACAAATATTAGCAATATTTGGTAAGACGTTTTTAAAGATGATCTACTGTTTTGACCATATTTCAAAATCAGGGATATGTCGATAGAACGACCTCCTGTTCCTGACCCATGGGTGGAGGGCACGTTTAGGAGGAAAATAATCGTAAATAAACCAGTCAGTCATAAACATATCTCAGATCTCTTCCAAGACTGGAAGATGACTGTGAACAACAGGGATCGATCCACCAAGGATTCATGTGCATTAGAATGGATCAGAATGCATGCTATTACCCCTAGTGTGGATGAGCTTCAAATGATACGTTGGGCTATTGTAAAATTATAGGGTTGGATAGGGACAGAGGTACTGTATTTACCAGATGAGTGGACCTAAATTGAGGACTGAATGAGAGATTATCCTTTCCCAGAGATTTCCTTCAGTGTCTCTGCCATGAGTTTCCTCCAAATGTCAATTCTGGACCCTCTCAACATCCCACTTTCTCTGAATCCTCAACATTTGGATTCTAAACACAAAGAGGGAAATCCTGCAACAATCCAAAGGAATACCTAGGTTTGGATATGGACCATACTTTACATGCTGCTGCCACCAATGGGGAGTTGCCATCCTATTTGAATTCCAATTCCCAAAGAACATTGCAGAACAGCTCAATTGGGAGAAAGATATGGGATGAAGAGAGCCTCCCAGCAGTTGAAGCAGGTGATTAAAAACATTGGGTAATACAAATATCTCTATCAGGTGGATGCTTCAGCATCATTGTACACCACTACCTAGTACCTAGCCTGGGTCATTGTAGCCTAGAACAGTCGTAGTGACAGACTGTTTGGAAGGCGAGGTGGGATAAGTAAGGAGACCTGATGTGATCAAACAGAGCACCACTTGAGACAACAAGATTCACAGGACCGGGGCCCAAGTCCCACACCACAGGGTGCCACTCTCAACAGCTTGGCTGGCTGACTGAAGCGTCCTCACAGCCGGCGAAAAGTGAGCCGGCATTCTGACACACACAGACGCACTGGCTGCTGCTCCTGGCGATGGCCGATACGCACCCCGCCCGCTGACTAGATGATGGCAGAGAGCTCTGTTTGGGCCATCTGTTACGGAGACTGATATAAATTAGATATCACACTAGACGCGTTTTATGGGACGTTGCAAGAACATTAATGTTTCTGAGGGTTAGGAGAATATTCCATCAACGTTCCACCAAACACGGTTGCCATGTTCTCATAATATACAATATTAATGTTTTAGACACGTTTCATGGGACATTGATAGGTGTTTCACGTTCCCATAAAATGTGTCTAGAACATAATATCTTATGTTCTGAGAACATGGCAACCATGTTCTGTTTATATTTGGTGGGACGTTGATGGCATATTCTCCTAACCCACAGAAAACGACACATGAATGTTCTCGTAATGTTCTCATTTAACGTGTCTAGAACATTATCTTAAGTTCTGAGAACATGGTAACCACGTTCTGGGTATATTCTATTTGACATTAAGACCATGGTCTCTTGGAAACATTCTTTGCACATCACAGGAACATTCCTATGAAAGTGTTAGTTAATGACCTAATTAGACTCTTATGGGAACATTCTCTAAAGTTGTGGTAATGTTTGTTGTTAGCTGGGTAGGACCCACACTAAACATTCTCCCCAACAACAACATTCTACTCTACTTCAGAGTCAGCGTGGGTTGTGGATTTGTCACTTGGGCTTGCTCATCCTATAAAATTCACAACTTCCCTACACAAATATTGTTATGAGTTATTGGGAAAATAAAAGCTTCTGTTTGTGTGGGATTGTATTTGGACAATCTTTATTGCCATTTTTTAAAGCCCTTTTTATCCCCCCAGACCACTATTTGAGTAAATAAATACCCCCCAAAAAGGCAGAGCAGACCTGGGACCTGGCTCGCTGTTATTGACATTTTGCTCTCCTAATTAAATGCATCTGAGTGACAGTGATTGACAGCTGGTGGATACGTGTCTGCGGTAGAGCTGGCCACCGGGGGTAGCTGAGGTACTGTCGACAAGGGCCTGGCCAATTGATAGCAGCTGTTTTTGTGGCCATTGAACTGTGGCAGAATGCTATTATGGATGATAATACTGGCAGGACCGGCCCCTGCTCTTTATGAAAGTGCTATAGCTCCCATACTCTCTACCTCTGGCTCCCAAGAGAGACTTCACTGTTGAAGCGCTGACAATGGGGAAGATGGGAGATATCCCTCCCTGGCCGGCTACACCTACTTTGTTTCTGCTCAGAGTGTCTGACTCCTCTGTATTTCACCTTAAAGGAATAATCCACAAAGAAACTCATCATCATGATGATATGGCAAGTTACAATGTGCTTTTTGAAAGTCCTATATCTTGAAAATTTGACGGCTGACATGGAAAACATTTTGGGACTGCATCAACAGTGGACTTATGGAAAAAAAATACCTAAAGATAGTTTTTGAGTGGAGTATTCCTTTATAATGAGTTGACCGACCGTTCTGAATATCAGAACGCTAGAGCATGGGGGTTCAAACAGGCACATTCTTCTCTTCTCCTCTACCCTGCAACTATTCATTGGGTCCTTGGTGTACAAGAGATGTGTTTTCTGTCAATGTACCTGGTAAAATAATGGTTAAATTCCTTAACAGTCTATTGACGCACCTGTGCGTCAATCTAAGTGACATAATAAAGAAAATCCCCATAAAAATCTGTCTGTTTAAGCTAGCTGTATTTGCGAACTTCAGCAGTTTGAGATGTGTCCTGTCTGACAGTGAAATGTGGCTAGCTCTTACTGTAGCCTGGACTATGGAGTAGCTAGCTAGCTAGTATTGCAAAAGCCCATTGCATTCATAGTAAGGTAGCAGTGTGACAATTTGTCCAAAGTTTGGTGTTGGTTTTGAACTGATAAAGGTTAGCTAGCTATATTTTGTGGAAAAATGTAGGACTGGCATTTGGACGTGAACTAGTTATCATTAGCTAGCTTCAGCTGTTGTTGTCTGGCTCTAACTAGCTAGCTAGATAATGGCTAAAGTTATTTGTGTAACAAACCATCCATAAATATAGCTACCTTTCTTTGCCTGGTCGTTAGCTAGCTAGCTTACAGCTGACTATGGTTAATTAGCTAGCTGCAGAGGCAAGCTGCTGGACTTTGTACAATCAAGCTAATATTAGCTAGGTAATGTTAGCTAGCTACCTAGCTAATCAAAATATCTGTTTGCCTTTATTGATTCATCTCAGCTTGAATATCACCATATAGCTAGCTATCTACACTTCTTCTGACTGGCAGAATGGTGCAAGCAACTGTGTTGTTGCCGAGCAACCGACCCGGTGTTAGAACTCTGAGATTTGGATGAATTTGTAGCATTGTCAGAAATGCTACAAAAAAGGTAGCACATCGTTGGTTCTTAACGGATATAAATTAGCACGTGAGAGAGATAAATTATACATGTAATAAAAACAGTTGCACTAACAAATTTAGTCAATCCGGAATTTTTAAAATCCAGTGGTCACTTTATGGATGCTATATTCTCATTTTAATCCGACGTCTAGCATTTGAGCTAGGTAGGTGCAAAAAATACCCTTAAAAATCTGTTACGTAGTTCTTGGTAACGGCCGGACGGCTCATGACGAGAGGCGGGGAGTGTGTTGTGTACATCCAATCAAGTTAATTTGCTAATTTTCATCGAGATTGGTGTCATATTGGCTTAGATATGATGGTAGGGAGATTTTAATTTAACACTGAGCTTAAACCAATCCTGATAATAGACATTACTATCGTGGTGTCTATAATCTAGATATAGGAGAGACCCTTCAAAACCTTACTCCTTATGATACATTTTTTTTTAACGGTTTTCCCATTTCTGAATGTGTTATTCAATGTGTTTCTATGGGCTATAGCAGTAAAGGCCAAATTCAATATTTTATTTTTGAGGTCTAAAAAAACACTAACAATTTTAGATATTTTTGTGTGATTCCCCTCTAGCAAGAGAGGTATGTGTCGGTCTAGCGATGTTTTTGCTGTTAGGCCAAATGCTGCAGCACATGTCATAGCAGAGTTTGCAAAACAATCGCCACCCAATTGATACAAATAATCATGAAATAGTTCCGTCAGGTAAGCTTACTTTGGAGTTAACATTTAATTGAGAAGGTTTTTAGGGAAAGTATTTCTGTCTGTCCACAAGATGGTTATCATCAGACCCCTGCGCTAGTGACTATTCCTCCAGCATGGTTGCTGTTGATCCATTAGTTAGCCATAATTGGATATTGTCTAGTTACAAGAAGTGGCATTAGTCTGTACTTAGGGCATAATGAGAAAAAGGTAACAGAAAGGTTGTCTGTTATTATCATAATTTAAAACTGGGTGTTATATTTGCATTGAAATATAGTCCTGACAACTGAAATCATGAACAAATAATACTCTTTGACAATACTACACAGAAAATGAAAGAAACAGAAACCCAAGAAGACAAAGAGGAGGAGAATCATCCACAGACGCTGACGTCAAAGCATGTAAGTGGAAAACAAAAGACTGCTCCTAAACTCAAGATGAAAGCGAGCATTTGTCTTCCAGCGTGCAGACCCAAAGAGAAGCTCCTGACAGATCGTACACATCTGCATAGGTAATGTAGAATGATGCTTAAGTGTCGCTGTGATCATTTCCTGCTACTGGAAGTGGATCCATCTGACCTGAGAGGAGGTGACACCACTGTCTTTAATGAGATAGAGAAGGAGCAGAGAAGGATGTGCCAGACAGCTCCTTTGAACAAAGGGAACATCCATATTTGGAGATCAAAAGCCAAAGTTCAGGTGTAGAACTACATTGTAGAGAATAGAACAGGAGAGACAAACAATATTTTAGTTTTTTTCATATATGCATGTCATCGTTTCAGTGTCAGTATTTCTAACAAACACTTAGGCCTATTGGCACAATGTTTTATAATGAAGTGAGACTTGCACCAATAATAGCATTTTTTAAACACAACTCTGACAAACAAAAACCAAATCAGTTTTTGCCGAGAATGTCACTTGCACCAATCTGACAGTGTTTATTCTCAGAGGGAGAATATCTTATCTTCAATCCAGGAAGTTATCCACAGTTTCTATTCATCTGGAGTAGCTCTGTGAGCCGGGGGAGCACAGGGAATAGGGGAGAGGAACAGAGGTAGATTTTAAAGATAAAGTAAGACAATCTGCTCTTGGTGGGAGATAAGACCTAGAAACTACTACAAACACTTCCACAAGCACACACTAAAACCTCACATGAGCACACAGTAAATAACACATTCAAAACAATCATACAAACATAAAAGCGTTGATGAGCTCACACACGTATGTAGCCTACATGCACAGTATAAATAAAAGGTGAAATAAAGGAATACAAAACATTGATTAGATGCCTTTCTGACAACAATGCTATTTAGATGTGTTTCTTGCTATTGTTCCAATCACATATTTGCGATGGTAGGCTGCAGGGACCACTCAATAATGATCACAAATATGTGATCGTACGAGTCAAAAGGTTAATATTATTATTTACATATATACAGTACCAGTCAAAAGTTTGGACACACCCACTCATTCAAGGGTTTTTCTTTATTTTTTGCTATTTTCTACATTGTAGAATAATAGTGAAGACATCAAAACTATGAAATAACACATATGGAATCATGTAGTAACCAAAAAAGTGTTAAACAAATCAAATTATATTTTATATTTGAGATTCTTCAAAGTAGCCAGCTTTGCACACTCTTGGCATTCTCTAAACCAGCTTCATGAGGAATGCTTTTCCAATAGGAGTTCCCACATATGCTGAGCACTTGTTGGCTGCTTTTCCTTCAATCTGCGGTCCAACTCATCCCAAACCATCTCAATTGGGTTGAGGTCGGGTGATTGTGGAGGCCAGGTCAGAAGATGCAGCACTCCATCACTCTCCTTCCTGGTCAAATAGCCCTTACACAGCCTGGAGGTGTGTTTTGGGTCATTGTCCTGTTGAAAAGCAA